TCTGTGTGAGCAGAGCCGAAAAAGAGTGATAGTCACGAATTTCGCTGTACATCTGGATTTCGAAATTTTCAATTTCAGAGGTGCACGCATGACTGCTCCTCTTCTGCGTTGCACGTACTTGGTTTGGCCTTCCGATGGACCGCAACGGACGCTACGAGCCATCGGAACTAATCGAGCGCAGTGGAGGTGCCACGTGACATTTGGGAGCGGCTCAGCGACTCGCGGGAGGCGTGGTCACGTGTTACGTTCAGAACGCCGTGGATCGGCTGGGATGGCTCGTAGCGCCCGCTGCGATTCATCGTAAGGGGGAACATAGTGTATAGCGGGGGTCTGTCGCGCACATCTTTTTCCATTCCATCTATCGATGGGATCCCTGGTCTGGTCCGACTTCGTCGCAATTTAAAAATATATATATACCTATTCAAGGTCGGGTTTCGTGGTAGCGAGATTTCGGGTCGCGTCGCGCTTGGACGCCTTTTTGCGAGGCCACCGGGCTTCGACTGGGTTTAGACCGAGTCTCTGCCGCCGGATCGATATTGCCGACTTCAACTGCCTTAGTTTCGCTATCAGTGCAAGGCATAGGCAGAACCGAATAGCTGAGCAGCGCCTCGTTCTCGGGTGACTGTCGTAAAACTTTCGACGACACTATCCACGGTTCACGAAGCATGGGCAAACTCCGTGGACGAATTAATCCAACTTTCGAAAACAGGCACGTTCTTGTGGGTGTGTAGTACTAACTTATGGCTTTTATATTCTAGATACTTTTATTAATATGCACATTACTTTGAGACAAGCCAGAAGATGTAAACGAATCGTGCTTTCTTTGATAGCTTTCTTTCGTAGTGCAGCTGTGACCGATGTTGTTAATGAAGAAAAAGTTAGGTCGCAAACAAGCTGGTGAACGTTTAACATTTTGGACAAATCCCCGAGACAGGGGGGACCTCGTGTTGTGTCGTCCTTCCTTCCCACCTGTCTCGGGGTTTTGCCCAAAATACGATGTGGTGGTTGTTTATTTGCAAGGGGCAACGAAATATACATCAAGCTTCGAAGATACATGTTCTGTTGGTCCCCCTTACGCACTGTAGAATGCTAACCTACACCCATATTGAAGCAACTCGCTTCGAGAGGCGTTTCGCTCTATTTTCAGCTATCCTTCCTAACGCAGGCACATCACCCCGACTACTGTTGCTTTTTTCTTCTTTTTTATTTGTGTATTTTATAAATTTTTATGACCTCAAACTCTTTGAGCTGTATTTAAAAGTTCGCGTTTTCCGTTCGATCCCCACTGTATTAAAATGTTTGCATTAGAGTTTCTAAGTGTATTCGTACGGTTGAGACACGTAGCGTAGTTGTTATGTAGTAGTGATCAAAACAGACAAAAAAAAACGTATTTTTTTTACTAGAACTAGCGCCTACTAGGGTACAGTGATGCTATCTCGCACACCCTAGCGTATCACAGTGGTTACAGCCAGTTTCCGCGTCGCGTATTGTGCGAGGCAATTCTTTTTACTATTTTGGCAGGACATTCGAAAGTGTGTTGATGCTCTTAATTATTCGCTTTTCGTCGCGTGAGTTGAAACGTGGTGGCGCATGTGTGCAAATCGCCCCCAACCGCTTCCGGTTCTGAGCTAGACCGCGGGTTTCGCCGTATTTGCGAAATCTAATATACATGCTGTCTTCTGGAAATGGCCAGTTGTAGCACTGCCAGACTTAATTCACTCCTCCTATAAAAGAATCCTGAGTAAAAATTAATATACGCGATCCGGAAGTGTGCCGGGGACCCAATAGATGGCGCCACTGAGCTCGTTGCCAAACATAAAAGGGGCGAATTGCCCATTCCCACGGCCAGCACAAAGATAGCCTTTATCGTAGGTCCTTTGGCAATCGATGAATCAGCATGCGCTCTGGGGTCGCGGGCACATGCCACGCGCGGACGATCGCGAACTGATTCGCCGCCATCCGTAAAGAGTGGGTCACACTGCTCATACGTCATACAAACGACAGTCAGCAAACACGAGCTACCGCAATGTACAGTCGGGGACAAAAGTCCCCAGGACGCGCGAGCTGCGACTGAAACGCATTGCTCTGCCATCTGCCGGCGGGTCGCCTGGTTTCGAGATCGCACAAACGCGCATGCGCGTCCTACTGTGCCTGAAGACATGTAAGTTTTCGTGCTCTTGTGCGGCGCGGCGTCTAACTCAGTATCGGGCGCGAGGTACCGCCTCGGAGATAGCGCTTAGTGACATGGCATCTATAAAGCAAGAAGTCCCGGCAGCTCAAGTGAGCGATAAACTCAACTGGTTATGAGCAATGTGCGCTGACACGGCGAAATTCGGCACGATGCCGCAGGCGGTATCTCCGGTTTTGGAATGTGTAGCAGACGCAAGTCATCCGCGAGCGCTATCTCTGAGGCAGTACCATGCGCCCGATTCCGAGTTTAGGCGCCTCGCCACAGAAGAGCGGAAAAACAGAAGTTTGCAGGCACAGTGGGACGCGCGTGCACTTTTGTGTGATCTCGAAACCAGGCGACCCGCCGGCAGATGGCAGAGCAATGCGTTTCAGTCGCAGCTCGCGCGTCCTGGAGACTTTTGTCCCCGACTGTACGTGGTTCGAATGCTGCGTTCCAAGTTCCCTTCTTGGTCCCATTGCCACGGGGCATTCGAAGCATGGATTTCGCGGTGACTCGCGTTCGAATCTCTAAGCAGACTGTCTTTTGTGTGACGTATGAGCACTGTGACCCCGAAGGTACCTTGCAGACTTGTAGGTAGTTCAACTACTCTACTCAAGGTACTGTAGTTCAACTACTTTTCTGAGTAGTTTAGTAACTTTCAATTACATTTTGATTTCGGTAATTTGTACTTCAATTACTTTTTTCGAGTAACTTCTGCTCAAATTACAAATTGCTTTTTGAATTTTAGTGGTAGGTTTGTTGATCAACAAACATTCCTGCACGAAACGATATAAGACGTTGGAAGATCAGCTGATATTTGCAAAGAGGGGGAAGTATGTGGCGTAGGAAAGGGGGAGAAAGGAAAGTGGCTTGGAGAGTCTGAAAACCCCCAAAATTTTCACGAGCCCCCCACTGCAACAACCCTGCTACGAGGCGCGGGGAGCGAAAAGACACGACGTAAGGGAGGCCGAGTAACTGTGGGATTATCGCTGAGGACTGGAGTTTTTTTTTGTGTCCCGAAGGTCAAGGCGACTTGACCCATTCGAAGAAAGGGCTGGTTCCCGCTTCTCCCCAACGGAGGCACTCTGGGCCACTACAGGAGGTGCACACACTGCATTCTCACTCAAAGGAGGCAACAAAATGCAGCACCTGCTCCGAAGCTCATCTGGTGCTCCCGTAGTTTGGGCTGTACCCGAAGAATCACGTGCTAAAGGGCAATGTAAAGGAACCTTTTTTTTTTTTGCGTTGCCTTTCCTCCCAAAACATAAAATATGCAGATCTGCAAAGATTTGAAGATCATTCGAGAAACCTTAGTAATTCCCCCAACATTTTTATATAAAAAATAATAAACAATCAGAGCTGGAAAGTATTTTAAGTACATGGTACTTAAATTACTACTGTTTAGAAAACTTGTACTTTATTTCAAGTACATTCTCTGAGCATGTACTTGTACTTTACGAGGAAAGGAAAACTCCTGACTTCAATCTACTATCCCCGAATTTGAAAACAACAAAAAATGGCGTATCGTTGTGTGAAAACGCCCTCTTTCAAGACGTCATCTGGTCATTTCTCGGAGTGAAGTAATGGCAGCTATAAGACCGATACAAATAAATGCCTTTTAAGTTGATTGTGTTAAATAGCTCGTCAGCGAGAGTAAAACTACTACTCTGTGGTGACTTGACTTTATACAATATTTGCTGCCATTTCTGTAAAAAACCGGTGCACCTCCGATTACCTCTCGAGCAATGCGTACCAGTGAAAAAAAAAAAAACAATGTATAGGGAATGAAAGGGCATCTTTAAAGATTCTGTTAAAAGTACTGGTACTTTACCTTGAAATGCATTGTATTTATAGTACGTTACTTCAGGTACATTGCACCCGGTGTACTTACTACTTGGCTTCAAGTACATAAGCTTTAATTTACTTTGTACTTTACTTCAAGTACTTTTTAGATGTACTTTACGCAACACTGTAAACAGGCTGTCTAAAAATCAAGCTCAGGGAGTGCTAAACCTCAAAGTAGAAATACACATTTGCAGTACATCATTAACCAAACCAACAAGAAAGAACAAAACTATTAGGCACGCAGAAGCAGGCCCAGCTAATAAAGCATTTCTTTGAAAAAACAAAAAAAAACAAATCCGATTTATATTTGGCTAGCACAATATAGCTAACGGATCAAAACCTATGCACTTTCTTTTTACCATAACAAAAACATTTAAAAGTAACTTCAAAGTAACTTCAAAAGTGATTCGCTACTTTTTACGGTAATTAGTATTTTTTTTAATTACTCTCGATTTGAGTAATTTCTACTCTACTCAAATTACTTTTGAGGTCAATACTCAGTAACTTAATTAATTTTTTTTAGTAACTTGTGCATGCCTGGCTAAAGCTCCTTTATGATCGTGTGAGGGGGTCTTACTAATCTAAAGCTTAAAGTTTTCAAAGGCAGATTGAGGAGCTGTTGTCCTTTTATTCCTTCACTGGCGGCTTCTTGCGCTGATTTTGAGTCCAACAAAACCAAATATCCAATATTGAGCCTCTCCAATCGCCTAGGTGCCCGCAATCAAATGGAGGCTTACTGCAGATAAGGCGCAGTGAAATCGAGAATTCGGTTGTACGTCAAAAGATCCCCAGGTGGTCGAAATGAATCTTCAGTCGTGCGCGTGGGACGCGCCAGGTGCCCTTCGTTGGTTTGTCACGTAAACCCTCCAGATACTCGTTGGATCTCTGACCCATAGTGTATCTGTTGACTTGGCTGTCACGTGACTGTTGGACACCTCGACCAGAGCTGCTCAGTGCTCGCTCTATACAAGTGTCCCTCTTGCAGGAGGCTGAGGGCCCCCGGTCTCGGGCGGCCATGAGGAAGCGGGACCGGCGGTGGAGCGCCGGCTCGCTGCTGCCCCAGCTGCTGCCCTTGCTGCTGCTGCTGGCGGGCTCGCCCCGGGGCGCGGGCGCCCTGCGCCAGGGGCCCCCCGGGCCAGCCAACGCCAGCGGCAACGCCACTCAGCTGCCGGACAAGCCCGCCGTGTTCACGGACCCGTCCACCGACAAGTTCCTGCACATGGCCATCAACAGCTACACGGGACAGGTGCCTGCTCTTTCTGGGTCCCCTTCATACCCTACGCCCCCGAGATGACGGGGCCGAAGGCCTGAATTTGCTGCGTCACCCGAAGAGGCGAGCGTGGGGCACGCGGGTTGGGCACATGTGCTGCGTTAAAGGGGCACTGACACCCCAAAGGTCGTATTTATTTTTATTGTCTAAAACGATGCAAGTTGCAGCCATAGACACGCAAAAAAAACCGCATCGCGAAAAAAAATTTTCCCGCGCGCACGTGCGCCTTTTTATTTTTGGCGTTTGATTTTCCCGCCCCTCGCCTCCTCGCTTCTTTTGATCGGTGACGTCAAAAATCAGGAAATTTAGAAGCTTTGTAGGCGGCATCTTTATAACATTTAATGACGGCAATCCTAAAACATGTTTTTTAACGCAATTGCGAACGCACTACGGCCCTTCTTTTTGAAATACCAAAAATCGGGAGTTCGTTGTGGTGCCGTCTCCTGGATTTGTATCCTCCAACGGAAAACAGGCGACACCGCTCAAAACCGGTCCGCCGCAACGCCGGCGCTAGCCGGCGCTCGCTCCTTTCCTCCTCGCTTTGGGTCGCCATGGCAACAGCAGGGAGTGGTGACAGGAAAGGGGACTCTCAGGTCTCCGCAATTTTTGACGTCAAGGCACCGGCGCCGATCGCGCGGGAACTTCGAATTCGGCATTTGGAAATTGTTTTTTTACTTCACGAATACTGAATTCCCAAATTTCAAATTTTGAGGGTAATGTCCCGGCATCGTTTTCGACCGTTTCGGATAACAAAAAAAAATATGATTTTGATGTGTCAGTGCCCCTTTAACCTTCGGCTGAGAGTCGTGTCGTCACTGATGGAAGGCGACTCTCAGCCGAGCGCTGATGCACCACTCGGGTCGAATCCCTGTCCCACGCTCGCCTCTCTAGATGACGTATAAAGTTCAGCCCTCAGGCCTTGCTATGTAGGAGGTGTTTGTCATTCCCCGCCCCAGGAAGGGGGCATGCTTCTTCGCTCGACTGTTTGAGTTGCTTCTATTCTGGGCGTGGTGACTGCGGGAACGGTGGTCACGATTCCAGTTACGTGATGGCCGTGCCATTTGCGCCAAAGTGCTTACCCTGCCTCATCCTGCTACATTTCGCCAAAATGGGACGACTATGCGCCAACACTGCGTCAAAACGTACTTTCACTTTGGTAATACTTAAAATATAAATATAATATAAACAATCCGGCCTCACGGCCGAATCGTTGCGGTAGGCTTGTCCGAATTTTCTGAACTTTCGATCGTCGCCTTTAAAGGGGCGGTGCAACGATATTCAATTGGAATGTTTTTCACTTTACACGAGCTTACTGGCACTAGTGGGGATCAAGGATACTCGCACGCAACGCCACTGACCAAGAAACTTCTTTGTTGTGCTGTAATTTCGAGGACAAAACCGAGTGTTTTCATTCAATCTCTACTTCGCAAAACCTGATGACGTAGCTGGGCGGTAACAGTACCGCCCAGTGACGATATTTCAATGCGGCTCATAGATTGGACCCGAGCATGGCGTGGACACTCGATTTGGGCTCGTGATAATCAATAGCTCGAGAAGCATTCGGGTAGTGTCCTGTGTACAATCGCTGCAATGCCGACAACAGCCGAACCATAACAATGTCTGGAACTCAGCGTGTGTCCTGTGCCTTGCCAATCCCAGCGCGTGGCTATGATCAGCATTGGCGGCATATAATCGGCTCCAGATCACGTGGCCGCTTGTTCTGGCTGCGCGTTGAGGGGGTGAACTCTGCTCGTTTTTCTTTATTTTTTTGTGCGACTTCGATTGCGTGTGGTGAAAAACCAACGGGTATTTCACAGGTCATTAACGTCAGGGTCCGTTCTAAGCGGTATTTGCGCAAAATACAAAAATCGTTGCATCGCCCCTTTAATATCGTTCTACTCGATTTGATCTCTGTATCTAATACTGACAGCACTCGGAAGTCGCCCAATATTCCTCGCGTTTGTGGTCTGGTCTGGTGAGTGTTCTAGCTTCGTTAAGTGCGCTTTTCACCGCGCACTGGTGTTCTGCAGTGAAGCGAGAACAGCGGAGAACCGCAGCGCAGCCGCGAGCCAAGGGAAAATCATATCTCCAGAGCAGGACGTTGCACACACAAGACGTCCTTTTCAAAAGTCCATCGAGCAACATTGGCGGTCGCCATTGCTTGGACACGAAGCGCCTGATAGGATCCGAGTCCTCGCCGAACGCTGACGTCACACTCGTATCCAATATGAGCTCAGAGTATGTGGGCAATCAATGGCGGACAGGCGTTGAAACGGACTTTTGAAAAGGGTCTATTGCGGCGGATTTTCTAAAAAAAAAAATAAATAAATAAAGAACAGCTCTGTTGTAACAACCCTACCTTGCAGCAAAAAAAAGTTGCAAATAAGGCTACGGCTAGTATATGCGATAGCTGAGGGATGAATAGATGATTCATAGCTAAAGAATGGAGGGCAGTTGAATGATTTATAGGTAACGAATGAAGGGTAGGGTGAATGCAATATTCTGAAGATTTTATCTCTCTCTCTCTCTCTCTTTTTTGTATTTCTCCCAAATTTGGAACCTTAAAATTTAGCGACGATATTTGTATATTGAGGGAAGATTTATATTGACTGCTTTATCAGCTTGTATATTTTTATGTCCATTCTCCCGTTTAGTTCTCACCTTTATATAGGTTCCGTCTGTAGAATGACACAGCGAACTGAGTGAATGAAAACTAAATTAGCGGGAATAAGAGGATGGAAGTTCGAGACTACCCTAGTGAGTTCGACTGGATTGTTTCCGGAGCTTATTTATTGTTCACGTGCCGATTTCTGTTATCAGGAAGTTCTACATATCAAATGTCATTGATGTTAATAATCAAATGACAAAGGCGTTGTATTTATCCGAATTAATCGTGCACTTTTATTGCAATCTTTAGGACTTTAGTGAGACATCGCTTTCGGTGCTTCATAATACTCGTAACATTATTTCAGTGGAATATAGTTTGGTTTTCGTTGGGCTCCGTACCAGAGATAACCATTCGCAGCAGTTCATATTGTCCACATGCAGTCCACAAAAAAAGGAAAGAGAAGGTCATTTCTGGGTTAGATGCATTAAACAACATAGCAAGTAAACTAGACGTCCCCCCCCCCCCTTTTTTTTTTTATAGTATTACACAGCGAGTTTTATCTGCCCTTGGGATATGGTGACACCAGTTCACGATGTAGGTGACCTATTTAGCCAGCGCAATGCGACTTCTAACCTGGGATCCTTAACGTGCATCATGTAGTAGTGGTTACACGACCGCTTGTCGGTGCGATGATCATTCCGATTGACGATTTTGCGTTCTTTCTTTGTTCCCCGTACACTGCATAGATTTTGTTTGCAAATTACGCTTCGCTTGTCATTACTTGTCGACGTATGTGCATTCCAGCGAGGGAAAATCAAATTAATTTTATTTAAATCAACCTAGCTAGAAAACAGCGATTCTTTACCACTAGACATGGCAGATTGAGTGATTAATTCGTCCGATCACTGATAACAATGCGAAAGAATTACTTAAATATAACGTACCTTTTAATTAACAGTTCCTGGCTGTTAACGCCGGCATACAGAACAAACTACAGCTTGGTATTTTTAGTTAGTTAAATAAAATTTATTTGATTTTTCTTTCGATGTATGACTTGATCGCAATAGGACACGACTTCTCTAGTTTTCATTTCTTTCTTTCGCGTTTTGATTTTGATGCAATAGTTACGTAGCTGACGAACAAAGTGGAAGGTAGCAATCAATCTCAACGCTTCGATTTGCTGAGAAAGCTCATTTTGGCTCGTTTTGCTCGGCGATCCTTGGATTTAAATACAAAACAAGCGCACATAAAGATTATCAATCCATGATAGACAAATGGTAACTAAAAATATTTTCTGGATTATTTTTTCGGGAAGGTTTCATTTAAATCATCCTTGTAAACCGGTCCGATTTCAATCGCGATTAAAATCACTTTGATTTTTATTCTCCGCCCTGATTGCAGCGAAGCGCTTAAAATTACTGCCAACCAAATAACGAAGACTGACTCACTTGTGTGGAAATTGCGCAGAAGAGCGGAAATCTCCCCCCCCCCCCCCTTTTTTTTTTTTTTTTTTCTTCCCGAAAAAGAAGAAAAAGAAAGCCTGAATTTGACTACGTTAAAGTACCGAGAACAGCTACAGGCGTGCGTTGCTGCTAAGCCCGCGCTGGCTTCGTTTGCGCGCTCGTTGTTTCTTTGTGAACGGGATCAGGAAAGTGAATTATAATAATAATCCCTGGAGAAGGAAAACAAGGGGGACAAAGGGCAACCACAAATCTCCAAGCACAGCTAGGTGACTGGTGCGCGACCGAAAAAATCCGCCTGGTCCTGGTATCGGACCAGGGACCGTTGTCCGGGAATTATTATGGTCATTCTTGTCCAGGTCGCTTGCATTGTTGCATTAGTTGCATTATTATCATAACCATAATATGCAGGTCGTTCACCCTTGTTGGTGTTAAACTGGTGGCAGCTGATGAGCTCAGTTAGTAGTAGAGCGCTCCACTGGATATGGAGAGGGCCCTGGTTCAGTACCAGGACCAGGCGTATTTGTTTTCGGTCGCGCATCAGTCACCTAGCTGTGTTTGTCCTTTGTCTCCCTTGTTTCCCTTCTCCAGGGATTATTATCGTCATTCTTGCCCAGCTAGCGTGCACCTCTGCATTATTTGCATTATTGTCAAGTGAGTCATGGCGTTTTTGGGCCGCTCTCATGGACGTGACAATATTTGATAATTATCGCTAAATAGGTGCTCTTGAGATCTTTTATTAGTTTCTATTACAATCAGTGTATTTAGCGAAACTGAAGCGTTTAGCAAATGATCGAGATTGACGGAAGGAGCAACAACTTACGAGGCAGATAACCTCCTCAGGCGAAAATGCTATCTGCGCAGATCGCTGATAATCGATTTCTCGACTTCGTTATTCGCTACGTTTCTTTTTTTTTTTTTTTTTTTTTTTTTTTTTTTTTTTTTTTTTTATTATTATTATGTAGAGCGCAATGATGATGACTGTGCGGGCGCTCCACACGAAAGGAAACGCTCGGAGTTTGTTCGTAAACATTGCGCCTAGTATTGATCTCGTGAATACGGTATAGGCATTCGTCACAATATTGAACTTTTTGAAAAGAGCCACATTTGAGAGCTCCTGCTCTTAGAGAACAACATTCTCGGCTTCTTCCTTTTACACTATTTTTTTTTTTTTTTCGTTGCTCGATCCCTTTTTTATATTAAATTTATCTCGGCCATTTTTGCAGTCGTGACAACCCGAGTATTCAATCGATGCGGGGGACTTTATTGTCGGCAATTTTGAGTGGGAAAACTTTCGGTTAGGCCTATGGCCAACTCCTTGGTGGGTGTCGAAGGGGCGAACCGTTGCCGCGGTCTAAAGCGTTGTTTTCCCTCCGGGTTTCCTCCTGGATTGTCCAGGTGTACGTGGGCGGCGTGAACTACATCTACCAGCTGTCGAGCAAACTGGAGCTGCAGGCCCGCGCCGTGATGGGGCCCCACCTGGACGACCCTGGCTGCCCCGTGACGCGCTTTTGCCCGGCCATCCAGAAGAAGAACCTGGACTACTACACCAAGGCGCTGGTCATCGACTACCCGCAGAGCAAGCTCATCGCGTGCGGCTCGCTCTTCCAGGGCGTCTGCACGGTGCACAACATCGACAACATCACAAACTTCCGGACGCCCGCCAACGAGTCCGTGGTGGCCAACAACGCGACCGCCTCGACGGTCGCCTTCATCGCCAACGGGCCCGAGAAGCTGTCCCGCATGCACGTGCTGTACGTGGGCGTCAGCTTCACGGGCAACGGGCCGTACCGGTCCGAGGTGCCGACGGTGTCGTCGCGCAGCCTGGACCTGATCAACGAGACGTTCTCGATCGCCGTGACCGGCGTCTCGACGGGCACCAAGATGTTCGTGAACAGCCTGGCGCGAGAGGTGTTCCCCATCACGTACGTGTTCGGCTTCAGCTCGCGCGGCTTCTCCTACTTCCTCACGGTGCAGAAGCAGTTCACCGAGCAGCCCAAGCCGTACATCTCCAAACTGGTGCGCATCTGCCAGAACGACGTGCACTACTACTCGTACACGGAGGTGGCGCTCGTCTGCCACACGCCCGAGGGCGTGCACTACAACCTGGCGCAGGCGGCCTTCGTGGGCAAGCCGGGCTCCGAGCTGGCCGTCTCGCTCGGCATCAGTGCCCAGGACGAGGTGCTCTTCGTCGTCTTCTCCAAGAGCCGCGACGAGACGGACGTCTACAACCGGCCGGGACTCAAGTCGGCGCTGTGCGTTTACGCGCTCACCGCCGTGCACCGCAAGTTCACCCAGAACATCAACGACTGCTTCAACGGGGAAGGGGTCCGCGGGCTGGACTTCATCAACCCGAGCACGTCGTGCCAGCTCACGGTGAGTGGCGGGCCACTCATCTTTGTCGGCTCTCGCAGCCCGGTTCAACTGCGTCGTTTCCCAGGCACCCGCGCACTTTCTCCGCTCGCAACAAAGAAATGTCCCTAGTGGGATATTCGCCAGCCTCGGTATAGATCGTTCCGAGACCTCCGACAACTACACCCGATAACGACACGACGCAGGTGCAAAGGCGGCGGCGGAGTACCGGGTATCGTTAACGGATTCTATGAAACGCTCTGCTAAAACTTCCTCTTAGTGCAGTGTGCGAAGGGCATTTTTATTTGCTTTGGGCCGATGTCTTGACAGCATAGTTTATCGATGTTATCGTAACGTCAGCGGAGACGGGATCGCGTCTGTGCAAGACAGTCGCGCTCAACCAGGTTAGACGGCTGGAGCAGACACCTCCTAAACAGCCTTGTTTGTGGTGCGACACGAGCGCCGTCTGAAAGCGGCTGATAAGGCTTTGGGGCAGACTCGAAACTCTCGCTCCTTCCCCATCAACCGAGCTACTCTGCGCTTGTCAGCTGACCACCCTGCTAATCCCGGGCGCGAGCGGTTCCGCGTCGGGATCGACACACGCCGTACGTTTCGAAGCACCGCGGGTCCGAACGAAGCGGGGCGGGCGCACGACGAGTGCCTCGTTTGATTGACCGCGGCCCGAAGCACGACTTTGAGGAGAAGGGGGAGTCCGGTCCGTGGTCAAACAGCAGCCGGGATCGAAGTTGCTGTTTGCGCACCCTGCCTGTCGGCGGGGAGATAGGCAGGTGTGTGTCGGCGGCGGCCGGCGAGCCTGCCTTCCCCGAAGGACCCCCCTGCACATCCCGTGACGCGAGGCTTTGTCGGCCGATCTGTTTACTCGGGCCGCTACTGGCACCGCGACAATTACTGATGCTGGGGACAGGCTGCGCTCTACGTGCCTCAAACTGTCGTGCTGTGGATCGTGATGCGAAGATTTGTCACTGTGGCCTGTTCTTGTTTCGCTCTTTCCCATCTTCGGTTCCTCTTTTTTTCATTTATTTGTATCCCTGTTCTCTCTGATGGTCTCATTCTGCTTTCTTTATTCCATTTCTTCCTCTTTTTTTTTTAATATCATTTTCGTGTTTTTTTAGGTCTCTCCCCCCTCAATTTTTTTTTCTCGATCCTTCCTTTTTTCTTTTTTTTTCTTAGGATTTTCTTTGGAGTGCCGCCAAAAATAATTGGATGTAGACAGCTTTCCCGTTCTCTTTTTATTTATTTTTTTTATATACACTGGAGGTACTTCACTATTGTACTTGGGTATGTGTTTCTCGAAAGAGAAGAGAATTCGTTGCATGAGCGGCGTCTTATTGCGCCGGTACCTGCGGAGAGCGAAATATGCCCGAGGCGTCCGTGTTCCTGGCTCTCCCATTTCCTCGCTCGGTTTGATTTTTTGTCTCGGTCCTCCTACGCGTTAAATTTGTCTTTCGCTCGAGAATCCTCCCAGGGTAATTTAAAAATGTCGGCATCCGTTGAAGACTGGCGGCCCGCGTTTCGTTCTCAGATATCCCGCCGAGACACGTGTATGTATATAAATGCATTTACCACCACCTCTCTCTTTATATATAAATATATATATTCGACTCGGCTTACTCTCGCTCCTCTCTTTGCTAGACTGTTTCTTCGTGCTTGTACGCGCGGATGTACCGAAGGCGGGCTACGAAGGAACCGAACAAAAATTCAATTAAAACGAGAAGAAAATAAAAAGAAACATAGTTTATAGTGTGGGTCGAAATGTGTATATTTCTTTGTGTGCAGGCAATCGTATTTCTTTGCCCCACTGGGTTCTTGCTATTCGCTGTCGGTGCATGGCCAAGAAGGCTGTTCCTTTGTAGGGTTGCCGCGTTCGCACCGATGAGAGCAGGCTAAGGTGGAGAGCCATGTCCAGCCATTCGTTCGCTTCTTCCTACTATGCGTCCTTTTTCTCTTTCTCTTCCCTCTTTCTCTCTCTCTCTTTCGTTCTTTCCTAGCTGGCCCAACATCCGCGCGTTTTCCCCGAGTGAGATCAATGTCCAACAGAGCTCGGCCATTGATTTCCGGCAGGCTCCCCTCAAATCGGCTGGCCAATCGTACGGGGACGCCCGCTGCCACACACCACTCCTGCCTCTCTCTTTTTGTTTTTCCTTCTTGTTTGTTTTTCTGGCCGACGTCGTACTTGGCTCCCGCTTGTTCCAAGCGCTTATCTCTTGGCTCTTTCTTTAATTCTTTCTATTGATTTCTTCTCCGTTTTCGCGTTGCCTTCGACGTTTGGTCCAGCCGTCTGCGCTGGGGAACCTCCGCCTGGCTCGGTCGGTACCCCCCCTCCGGACGGCTGAAATGTCGTAACGCCACGCTCCGTGACGTTGGGTGCCCGGAGGTAAATCCTTTGACCGCGGCGGCAGAGGCCGCTGCGAGGAGGTCGCATTGTCATCTCGCGGGCCTTTTCGGGTCGCCGCCGTCTTGGGACCGGGAACGCGCATCGCGTAATGATTCCCTTCTTCTTGTAACGGTCTTTAAATTGTGGCGTTGCGTACGAGTCGCCGCCGTCCGCAACGGCGCTGGCGAGGAGAGATCGGGGCACTCTGATCGCTCGACCTGTTTGTGCCGGGACGCTCTGTAATCTCGACGACTGTAATCACAACGGTTTCGTCCAACGTGCGGGCTGTCGAAACAGTCGGGGAGCCTAATTTTGATTGCGAGCTCGAGGAAACCACGTGCCCTGAAGCTTTAAGCGAAGTACGCGGAGTGTCGTCCAGTATAGCGATTGTTTCAAAAAGTTCTTTGCGTGATTAAACGACATTCCAGCCTGTAGCATAAAGGTGCGAGCTAATTTTCGAGTTGTTCGCATCCTTAGAAAGCTACTTTATGCGCACATAGAATGTCTTGCATCTCTTGATTCTCTCGGTTTTTGCCATGCTTGTTTTTATACGCACGTATACATGCTAGTTACTTGTACCTCACTATTTTACCGCCGTAATGACGTACGTTCTTCTAACTGTGTAGAGGCCAGTTCCCATGAAGGTGCAGATTTTTGTTGACGTTATAATTGATCCGACAAATGCGAGGCACGTATACTGGATCCACCAAACCTTTAGCGTGGCTGTGTCTTTGGTGTCGAGCACCATCAAGGCGCCGCATTTTGGCACCTGAGCCCATGCAGCTGTACTTGCGTCGTTTCCGTGGTCTATCAGTGAGTACGACCAGCCAGTGCCTGATTTGTAAAAAACAAAAATACATCGCGTTTTTTTTTTTTTTATTGCAGTTGTTGACGTGGCCTTCCGTCTTGGTTCACCTGGTGACTTATAGAGTTTATTTAGGCTCAGACGTACGCGCGTTTGGAATTCACGTTTATTTATGGTCCTTCTTGAGGGAAGTTTTGGCGGAGGTAGCAGCGGAAGATTAAAGAACGCCTTCCGCGTGTCTCGTGTGTCGTCAGTAGGGAGTTGTTGTTGTAGACCGTTTCCGCAGCCCGCTAAGCAGCCGGATAGCGCTCCGTAATCCGCCACAATACCTTGAACTATGCAGACAAGGCTGGCGGCGCGCGTGCGCAGCTTCGGCGTTTTCTTTACGGATACCGTAGCGGAGGAGAAAAACGATCTACTACAAGTCCCTATAGTGACTCAATTGTTCCTACCGGCTGTATCTATACGCGGGAACTAGTAGAATCGTCGAGCTTTTCGAGCTTCTACCGCAGAGAGTCCTCCGGGATGCCAGCTCGACTGCGTGCCTGTGTTCACCGAGGCCGAAATGCTCTCGCCTCCAGAGCGTGCGATAGACAAGCCTCCTCTGCCCGCTCTTGCTCAGTTCACGCGAGGCGCCCGAGTACACACCCGGCTAGGCACGCAGCGACGGCGGCGCTCGGGCTTGTTTACCCTGCATGCAGTTGTTCGGGGCGCGAACGCTACTCTGTTTGTTTCCACTCGAGCCGGAGCTCGGGGTCCGCCGCTTGCCTACTCTCGCCTCTGGTTGTTGCTGCGAAACGGCGTGCATTGGGCGTCGTTAATTCGGCCTGGGCGCCGGCTGCGATCAATGGTTGCCGCGGGGTCGATCGGCCGAGAGCTTTCTGCTGCTGGTGCGAGTGCGCGGGCTGCCGCCCGTTTTCAGGTCGGGAAACAAAGACTGCAGGATGGCCGGCTGTCGGGGCAACTTTCGACTGTTTCTCGTCCGCGAGAACTTTAAAACGCGCACTGGACAGTTGAGGCAATCGCTGGCTGCCTCTCTCTCGAGGGTCATTTCCCTTGGTTCTGAGAACACGAGAAGTTATTTTCCTTCCTTCAGTGAACTGTTGGAGATGTGCTGCATACTTGCGCTATACCTGGGCGATTTCACCTTAATTCGTGCAAGCAAAGAGGGTCGATTTTTTTTTTTTTTTTTCGGCGAAGAAAAAAGTATGCTGTAGGGAATGTTCTCGAGGTATGGAGCGCAGAAACGGCCGTGGTGAAATTGAGCATTTCTCCTGACTGTCGAAGGTTGCCTCCCGTAGTTTTTGCCTGTGTTATTTATTTAATTTTTTATTTTATTTTTAGAGAACAAAAAATTATCCGAACCAGCGGCTTTCACCTTTCTTCTAGGTAAAAAATGAACGCCGACGTACAACCTTTGTTTTCTGCAGGGAAGGTAATCCTCTTAATGCTCTTCTCTCCTAAGCTGCGAGGGGAGCCAAGTTGGGGCAAGCTAAAAAGTGGAGAGGATATGGGAAAGGAGGAGGCGGGCAAATGTGGAACGCGCGAAGTGTACGTCGGCCTTTAACTACAACATAATTTCTTTTCGTCAAAATTTAAGATTTTATTCTTTTTGCCTGCACGATGTGAGATGAAATCACCATTTATTTTTCTAACTCCCCCTTGGGACTACTGTGTGGTCAGCATAGTCAGTTAACGGGGGACTGGAGTGGGGAAGCGAGGTTTGAAGCGCAGAGTTAAAGAGGCAGTTGTTGTAACGCGGGGGTCTTACTGCTGCAAAATTATTTTGTTAACTGCAAAAGTGATCTAACAGAGCTTCCTAATGTTTTGCTGTACGGGCGTTCCGTAAAACTTGTCTTACTGCTCCAAAATCATTTTGTTAACTACAAAAGTGATCTAACAGAGCTTCCTAATGTTTTGCTGTACGAGCGTTCCGTAAAACTTACTCTACGTAAGCGTGCCAGCACGTGTTTGCGGGGGAGGAGGAGGAGGAGGAAAGAGAGAGAGAGAGAGTTGATATTTAACGTTTCAAAGGTGGCCAAATAATACTTGAAGGTGGCGGAACGTCCCCTCGTTTGTTGTAAGAAAATGGGAGGGCGGGGGGAGAGGGAGAGAGAATTAGAGATGAAGGGAGACGGACGAACGCCTTGCAGCCGTCTGCTATGAAGTGAGTTTCAGCGTCGACAAGCGAATGTTGCGTCCAGTTTTCATTCTGCAGTATTTCCCTCCGCCGTCGAAGCTTGATCTACTAGGTGATCGCTTCGAATTTCGGCCGGTTCGCCGCTCGCGAGGCATGAACGAGAAGCGCGTTTGACGGCGCGGAAAAGGACGCCGCGAAGCGGCGTAAGGTTAATCCAATAAAGGTAACAGGACCGAGGGACACGCGGTGGGGGGAGGGGGGCCTACGCCCGCAGCAGCGAGCGGAGGCTAATTTCATTACAATAGCGGCGGGCTGTTGTTTTTCTCTGCCACGAGGGAAGGGGGGCACCTGCGGGCAGCGAGGCGCGCTGTAGTTTATTATAGAGACGTCCTCCGCCCGCGCGGCCATCCATCCTCGGTTCGGGAACAACAACAGACAGACGATACACGAAGCTACGAGCGAAAGAAAATGAGGGGAGAAAGATGGGCCGAGTTGCCTCTTTGCTGCGCGTGTGTGTCGGGGCTTTCGGCTGCAGCCTCGTGGATCGGTTCTGTGGGGTGGAGGAGGGGGGGGCCTTCCGTTTTGTGTGGCCAGCCGAGCGTGCTAACTGGGCCCCAGGCTTGCCTGCCTTGCTGGTCGAGCCAGGAATTAATACTGGCCGATCGTGCCACCGACAGGAGGTCGCGCTGCTCGCTTTTTTTCTTCTTCTTCTTTCCTTTCTTTGTTAGTGTTGTTCGGGTAGAGCGAGAATGGGCGTGGTTGCTTGTATCGAGCGTGTTTGGAAGGCTGAGCGAGGCTTTCCTGGAAGTATTTGATTGGAAACCAATAACAACCCTGGTTATGAGATGCTATATAAACAGGCGAGGGATTCGTTACTTCGGGGAGGATATGAGGGAGGGAGGGAAGCAGCGACTCTGTTTAACGTAGAGGCAACGTAGAACACCCGCGAGTAGAAATAGGGCGGCAGTTTGTGGACCAATAGCCTAGACATATGGGAAACGGTAATTTAAACTAGTCAACCCGCCGTATTGAGCTATGCCAACAGTGTGTGTTTAAACGCAGTCGCAAAAAAGAACCGAAAATATGCCACGCTCTTTTTATCTATTTTTTCGCCTTTTTAGTTATTGGGGCGGAATACCGAGGACGAGAGAACTCTGCGAAACTGTTGCGCGAACTTCCGGGTTGCTCGGAGTTGGAGTAGTTTCGGGGCCTCTCGTCGACTTAACGGGGGGCAGCAGATTTATCGAGGGGCCCCGAACGAAACTGCGCTGAATAGAGCCGAGTTGCGCAGGCTGCGACCGCAGTTGCCGCAAACACCGGCGCCGAATATACGAAGAGAGGTGCTTATGGGCACGCTCCATTTGGCGAGAGCGGGCGGGAAGCTTGAATGCGGGGCTCCGCGCGCTCGCCTAATTGAGCCCGCAGAGCCTGACCGCTGCGTGCGGCCATCGATCCAGCGCCGCTTGTCTGGTCGTTTCACTTGCGCCCGACGCCCAGTCCGCCCTCGCGCCACCCCCTCTTTCCGCTATTGTCGGCTCGCCGGCTGCTTTCTTTGCTTTTCCTCTTTCGGTTCTATTCCTGCCTGTCCCTCGAATCGGTAGAGATAATCAACGAAGGCAGAATGCGCTTGAATGGAGATGCTCTTGGGAGGTTGGAGGCGTTGAGTGTTCATAGACTTTTAGCTTTTTAGGCGTGATATCTGTCGTCTCGTTAAGTTCACCCCTTGTTCGGGTCATGCAGCCGGTAATTTTTTTGAGGAAGCGCGGAGGCCGTGAAACTCGACGCATGAGACAATCACCCGAAGTGAGGTATGCAATGAAATGGAAAGAGTTTGCCTTTCTGTCAGTTTGGATAGTGTGTTTCCTCTCGTGGAGTCTGAGCAAAGAAGACTTTGAGATGAATGTCGATCAACATAGGGTCATGGACTTGCTCAATGCGTGCATGGCAGGGAAGTGCGTCCGCGGTAAAGTGACGAGGTGGTCGGAATGATCCCTCGCCCTTTTTACACTGTATTCAAATGATTTCGAGCGGGGAATTGCTACAGACCGCTAGGCAAACCTGTTCCCGACCCAAGGGGTAGGAATGCTCACCGAAAGTATGGACCTTACGGGCTGCCACGTATCCAATATGCGAGGGCCAACACCTAAAGCGCGTTTCTTTCGATCTTCAAAGTTTCGCCTCGTTTCTAAAACTTGGAAGGGCGACTGTGTTCTGGGCACTTTTATCTCCTCGATGGCGCGACGCGCTCGAAGCGAAGCTGAAAGGGGGAGTAAGGTGCTCCCGGTCAAATGTCCCGAAAGCTTTATCGAAGCGGAAAATGAGAGGCCTGAGCCGGCCCGCGGAAGGGAGCCCCGGCCGCATCGTTCTCGGGCAGCGCTGCAGCGAAGCGACGCCCCACCGAAGGGCGCAGCAGGCTGTAGGCCTTTCCTCCGGGGCAGGGGTCGGGAGGCCACATCGGAACCGTTAGCGGCACCTGGGACCGGGAAGAGCCGCCCCGCGGGGAAGGCATTAGCGCGCTTTGATGGCCCCGTTGGCCGGTGCCGAAACCCGGCTGATGGCAGCAGCGGACCTTCGGACGCACCTCCGCGTCGGCAGCAGCAGCGCGTGCGTGCTTCTGACCACGGGGGGCCGTGCGTCGTCGTGCCCTGTTTGCGCGCGCGGCGGGTGTTACGCACCCCGCTCGTTGTCCGAGGTTGCCGGATTATTCGGGCAGTTCGGGTCCAGGGGCGTGGCAAGGGAGATCCGCTGGGCACGGCATCTTAGCGGAATATATCGCCCAGCTGCCAATACCTCACGCCTTCTGTCAAGATAAAGCTGCGGCCCTACTCTTGAAAGCGGATTTTGAAGAGGCTTTACCAGGACCATACACTGTCGAGACCGGTTTTAAAGAAAGTCAACGGGAATCGGAAATTACTTCCCTATATCCGCTATTTCGTTATAACCGACTTCGGTTATAACAAAGTGCAAAAGGAAATCGGAAATCGTTATCACTTCGCTGTAGCCGCTATTTCGTTATAACTGACTTCGGTTACAACGAAGTTCAAAAGGGAATCGGAAATCGTGTTCGCTTCGCTGTAGCCGCTATTTCGTTATAACCGGTCTCGACAGTATACCAGGATCGTGGTGTGTACGGGCTACATGTCATGCGGGCGGTTCCCGGATGTGTTCCCCTCGTGGCTGTCCGTCTCGGGGTGTGCGGTGGGTAGCCATAGGAGGTGCGTGGACACGGCGGGTCCAATTAGGTGGGGCGCGTTGTCCGTGGCGAGGCGAAAAGTACGCTCTGTGTCCTGCATCCCTATTGTAGCTGCGGACTCAGGTGCTACTATGCTGCAGCTGCTATCACCATTCGGCAATCTGAAGAGCAACCGGATCGAGAATTTTCAGATGGGCTAAATCTCTCGCCTTGATGTGGCTTAATGGTTACTTCACGTTACCATATTCTCAACCAGGGATGGGCAAAATACATGCAAATATGTATCGAAATACAAATACAAAATACTTCGTCAAAAATGTATTTAATTACAAATCTAATTACATTTCCAAAAAAGCATTTAAGTACAAGATACGAATACAACCAAATGGGTTTGTTCTCCTACAAATACTTTTCCAAATACATTCCTCAAAATTTGCGTCAGCGACTTCAGGGCACCTGCAACGGGTTTCTGGGTATCTCATTTTAATTTTGCATCGCACACCCGGGAGTTAGTGTGCGAGGCTCTAGTAACGTAATCGAAATATAATCACAAAAAGAAATGTAATCAGCTTGGACGTAATAGGTGAAAAAAGTACAGAGCTTCAAGCAGCTTTTTTTGTCGATTACATTTTGGTATAGACCAACGAAGAACCGATACGACCAAGACGCGCAGCACTAGCTAGAGATTTTTTTATTGTTGCAACTCGCACCAGTTACGAAAATCTGGACGATCCGCGCATGTAGAATGTTCCAGGCAAAAATATGCATGGAAATCAGACTGGAAAGCATCACAAGTTGTCACAGGCACTTATTTAGCCAGTCTGCCAGTGAACGTCGATTTCGTCACTATTCTTGCCCTTTACTAGCGCCGTAATCACAAAGTCACTAAACGCTTGTGCTTGATTGACAGACACTGCATTCGGTGCAGAGCGTAGTTTTCTTCCTGCTCTGGACAGTGACAATACATTTGAGGGATGTATTTTCGCCCACAAAATTGTATTTAATTACAATTGTATTTGAAATACCCACGTTTTAGTATTTAAATACACACGTCAAATACTTTACCCAATTTGTAATTAAATACAGATGCAAAATACACGAAGTATTTGAAATACGTATTTAAAATACTTGTATTTTAAATACTGGCCATCCCTGTTCTCAACATTCCCGTTTCGTCTCCCTCTGTAAAGTGGCACAGGCCGCCTGATCTCTTGATCGTATATCCACTGTTGTTGTTTTTTTTTCTCTTTGACGGCGGCAGTCTGCTTCGTTGTCTGAGCCTTCTCTTTCCCTCGTTTGCAGCAAGTGCAGATCAACGATGACTTCTGCGGCATGGACGTGAACACGCCGCTGGACGGCGGCAAGGCGGTGAACGCGACGCCCGTGCTGACCTACTCCAACGTGCTGCTCACCTCGGTGGCGGCCGTCTCCACGCACGACTACACGGTCGCCTTCATGGGCACCGCCACGGGGCACCTCAAAAAGGTCAGTCGCTGTCTCCAAGTTGGGCTCGCTCAACAACCCCCCCGTGCAGGGACGCGATGTAATGGCGGACGCCGCAGGTTCAGTACGTGTGCGCATGTGTGCGTTGTCGAGTGGCCAGAGGGACAGTGGGGGTGGAGAGATGAAAACAAGGAGACGCTTGCAGACGATCGACGCTTTTGGACGCCTGCTCGCAGTCTGTATTGCAAAAGCGGCCCATAAACCACGCGACCCCGAGGAAGCCGTTTAAAACACTCTGGAATCGAGGCTTACGCTGCCTAACTGTAGACCTAACCCAGACTAGACTAACTGTAGACCTTCTAGGTCAGACACCGCGGAAGCCTGCACGGGGCGCAGGTTGGACACGAGAGATGTGTGAGCGTTCGGTTGGGTGACTCGTCTCTTCACTGAGTCACCTCGAGTCCCAGCTGAGCACTGATGCGTCACTTGTGTGTAATCTTCTGCGCTCTGGCCGGCGCTCGGTAACGTGGAAATCCAGCACTGGGGCCTTGTTGTTATCTAGGAGACTGTTCTTGATGCCCGCATGCGCGCTAGTGAAATGTAGTTTCTCTCTCTCCTCAAACCCCCCCCCCCCCCCCGCCCCCGGTTCTATTTACCCCTATAAACCTGCAACGTTGTGACTTAGCGCTCGATCTTCCGTATATCCAAAAATGTGCATCGTATACGGCGGATCCGTCAAGGGGCCGGCGGTTTTACTCGACAATTTATTTTCGTAGACAGCGAGAAATGGTTCACTACTAAAAGCATCGATTATTTTATTGTTGTATCGTTTTCTTAAGGCCTTAACGAGTGAGGCTATTCGGTGACGCGTAGCTAAACAACTCCGCTAACCACTGTCACAAGAAACAACTGGGAGTTATGATTTACAGCTGCGCACATATTATTTCCAATTTTCTTCTTCTGAGTGGAGATCATATTGTGTTATCGTGGACTTTCATGGAAGCGGACGATCATTTCACGAGTGACACTTTCGCTGTGGGTTCAAAATATCAGTAAGCTCAAGCTGGCTCGAGCATTGGCGATTGCGATGTGACCGACTACTTTATTGGGGAGTTTTAGTCGTTCGTTTCGATATTTCCGATATTTATAACGATACGACGCACGCGCAAAGCCGTCGGAGGTGTATCGGGTACCGTTATCGGAGCTGTGGGCACAATCTACGTGTTACTTGTTGCAAAAATAAACATCAATCTATTAATTAAACTCCCTACTACCGCTCAGGACCGCTTAATGCGAGGGGGTTGCTATGACAACCGAGATCCGCTCAGCGTATCGCATCGCACTCGAATGCGAAAAATCGCAACGCATCGGTCACGATCAAACCCAAATGTCTGAGCCATCCCTGAGTTCGAACGCGGCTCCTCGATGTCGTCTCGGTTAACGCCTCGTGCACTTTCGGGTGCGGTAGATGATAGAAATCCGGAGGGTGATCACCTCGCTCCTTCCTTTTCATTGAGCCAGTTATCGGGAGAGGGAAAGAAGAAAAAGAGCTGCTTCCCGGGACGGGGGAAACCGCGTTCCTCCCGCACTCTTTGCGTCTGCTTCGATTCCTTCTTGGTATCCGGCAACTCGCTAACGAAGACGGAGCCCGAGCATAGTGATGGATGGCGGGCCATCCCGAATCTCGAGGGGGGAACGGCGGCGTGCGGGCGAGGCGTCCACTGGCATACGGGTCTTTCGATTCCCGTCTGCCGATATTCTTCGATCTGGCCTCGCTCCAAACGACTGGCAGATGCGGGCGCTCGGGGTTGGGCCGGGCCTGTACCGGCGTCGACAGCTCGGACTACGGTAGAGAGCCGCCAAGTTTGGCGAAGACTGCGTCCGGAAGTGCCGACTTTCGCTCGACGGAACCGCTGGCATTTCAGTTCGCTGGAGTGAGCCTTAAGGAAGTTCTGGGCCGTCTTCTATGTCGTAAAAGTTTAGATGATGAAAAAAAAAAATTGTTTGGAGAAGAACAGTGTGTGTAAAAAGTTCGCAGACGTGGTGCGGAAAGTGTCTCTGGAATGAAATATTTCGAATTATTCTTCTTCGAAGCTAGCGGACGGGTTCTATCTCTTCACTGGCAACGTTAATAGAAATCCCTAGAACAAAAAAAAAAAAAAAAAGTAATGTTTTGGTGAGGCACGAAACGGATAATACTAGAATTAAGTGGGATGGCGTCCCCAACGAGGCCTGCCTCTGGTATGAACGGAGAGGCGTCCGATTTTCTATCCCTTTTTCTCGGGTTGTGACTGGAGCTCTCTTGCGCCCATTCGTGCGACGTGTACGAGCGAGTCGTTAATTCCCCGTGTAACTTTGCGGCGCTTTGCTCTTTTCGTCGTGTCCACGCTCCACTTCCTCGGTCTGCTTCTTCTTTCTCTTCCCCAATTGGCGGAGCGCTGCAAAGAAGGGACGGAAGTCGAGCGGAAGTAGGAAGTAAACGGTTGTCAACCCTGTGCAGCCGCGGCACTTGTCACTTCCGCCCCGAGGCACCTCGGGAGGAAAAGGAAAAGAGGGCGCTGGAGCCAGCCGGTGATTGGCCGCCTGCAGGCTGCTGCTGTCTCCTCCCGAAATAAGCGCACCGCTAGAAACGGAAAGGGGAAGGAAAAAAAGAAAACAAATGAGGAGAAAGGGGTTCTGAAATATGGAGGCCGACGTAAATAATAACCGACGCCCTCGGAGCCGTCGTTTTTGGCGCGTCGGCGAGCGAATTAGATTTATGGGGAGTCCAGGGGGGGGGGGGGGGGGGGGGGGGGGGGCAGAAGTGTACCGGCGACAAGAACATACGACCCGGGAGTGGCCACTCGGCCAGCCTGACAGAGACCGAGCTGCTCTTTCCTTCCCACCACACTTCTTTTATATTTATACATCTGCGCGTGAACGCTTGTGTGGGAGGTAGTGTGCTTTCGACGCCGTGGGCTAAACGTAATATATGAACCCGCGAAATTCTTAGACCGCGTTTCGTGGGCGTTGAACCGCGCATGGCTTGCGGAGGAATCTCGGGACGTTGGGATGTAGGCGCGGTTACGGGCGGACTTTCTTTCCTAACGCATACGACACTCGCAGGTTCCTAATTGGAACTAGTTGTCCGGTGCGTCAAGTGCCCGGTGCTATCATTAAAGGGGCCATGAAACGATTTTGAAATCGAACTTCATCCACCGCACGTCGTAAAAGGTGTGAAAAGAAACCTAAAAATGGAGAGCCAAAAAAAAATTCTTCGCTATAGAACTTTAAAAGGAGGTGCGTGCCACTGAGATCTTTCTTTTCAGCTATCTTTCCTGTGCACACTTGTAGCTTTATGTAACGAAGGAATAAGACACATTTAGTCCTTTCGATGCTTCTATTCTCAGGGACAATTTTCTGACGCGATTCAGCAATAACGAAAACATGTTTCGGTGCCTCAATGTACACGTAAAATTAGTCGTGTAAACCTTTTTGTACTTTCACTAAATACCGTTAAGAACTAATCCCTGACGTTGATAACTTGCAAAACACCCATTAGTTTACTCTCCACGAAATGGCAGACGTAGAAAAAATAAAGGAAAGAAGCTGCTTTTCCCTTCTCAACTCGCAATTAAAAGGGGCCACGTGGTCTCACGCTATTCATATACTGTCAGTGTTCGTCATAGTCATGCGCTGGGGTTGGCAAAGCTACGAGCAGGGGGTGGCCAAGCTGCCTGCGGCTCGCGAGCCTCATGCGGCTCTTTGCGTGTTAAAGTGCGTCTCGCGGCTCCCTAGTAAACCTAACCCCTCCGCCTCCCTCCCGGTCACATGAGCACTTCTACAGAAAGACAGAATGGAACGCGTTTCAGATTGAAAGACAGGTTGCTACTGCTACCCTGCGTACAGTTGGACTGCTTTGAACTCGGATAGATCTAAAGTAGTTAAAGTTTCCTTTATTGCTCTAAACAAAAGTTTGCCCCCCCCCCCTTTTTTTTTTTTTCTGCTGTCCAGTTTTTAGGCAGTTCTTGAAAGTTTAGTGGTCTGTCTACGGCTTTTAGGCCGGGTCAGCCTGGCCACCCCTGCATAGAGCACGGGCTGAGCTTAGGTCATTGTTATCGGCTATTCTCATTTTTAATTGAAGACGAGCCATTACCCAAATGTTTGGCGATGCTGATTGTTATGATACCGAGCACTCGACTCGAACTCATGATAGTCGAGTACGTCACGGTGTCACGTGACTCGTTGTGAGAAGTCGTGATGTCATGTGACCTCATGGTGTCAACAAGGCTAAGAAATTTAGCGGCGTTCTCAATTTAAATCTACATGACACAGTGGATCACGTAACGACGTCACGGGGCCGCATGATGTGACATTACTTGAGTTGACAGCATGTTTTGAAACCATGACGTCACGCGACCACGTGACACATGACCTATCATAGTGCCAATACAAAAGTGTCGCGAAAACCCGAAATTTTTCATTCACTCATACACTGCAATTCTGTATATTACGATTTGATCAATACATAAAAATACAACTGCCAATTTTTTTATTATCAAATATTTTGTGATATTAAAAAAAAAAAAAATACCGTGAACCGTTTCGAACCGCTTACCGTTATATATATATATATTTTTTTTTTCGGTTCAGTTCCAAGATTGCGGCGAAGATTGCGGTTCGGTTCAGTTCCGGTTCGGCTAAGAGTAACGGTTCCGTTCCTGTTTTCGGTTCGTGCTAGGCCCTCCACGTGCCCTGCGGGAAAGGAAACGCATAAAAAAGTTCGTACTATCTGCTGGACCTTATCGTATTATTTTGAAAAGCTAAAATGTGAGAGAACCTTTTGAAAACGCGATAGGGCTTACAAACCCTATCGTGATCGGATCTGATCCGAATTGATCTGAGACTTACATCTATCTGTCATCACACCAAACCAGATATTGTGGGGTTTCAGGTTTTCTGGAACGGTATTGTTATGGGAGCTCGTGTTGCCACTTCAAAACATTTTTTCAGATGCGTGTTCCTAATGCGAAAACGATTTCCTAAAACTGCCAAAGTACCCA